CACAACCCTATCTCTTTACCCCTTCGCCCGACCCGTGGTATCCCCTCAGACAACTTGGTCGTCATTCGGCAAAGGTCGTTACCAAATAGCACTGTAAATAGTTTTCTTGTAAATAAAGTACAGATTCTGAAGCCTCGTCAACCTCTTAACCTGGGGGCTTTCAACATGAGGACTATTATGCAGGTGAGTCAACAAGCGTGTCTTGCGTTTCCAATGAAGTCTCTAGAAACTGATATCTGTTGCGTATCGGAGACACGAATTCCGGATCCTAGTATTATAAGCCACCTGAGTGCGCCGGGTCTGTCCTCAAGATATTTCCTTCGCACATCAGGAGAAGACGAAGCCCGCTCAAGGGTCTACGAAAGGAGTGTCTGTGTTCTCGAATTTGACGAAGAGTGAAGATGTGGTCGATACAACCTCGACCAGGTCTAAAACCATCCCGGTTCTCACGTGTGCACTCTTCGCGAGCGGCAGACAATCGGCGGAGTACGATACCAGCGAGAAGTTTAGAGGCAATGCTAATTAAACTAATTCCGCTAAGGCTTTCACAAGAGGACCTGTTACCTTTCTCGGAAATCGGTATGATCACCGATTCCCACTATTTAGTTGGAGCCTGTTCCCTTGCATACAATGAACCCAGGAGTTTCGTTAAACTCGAAACCAAGGTTGAACCTTCATTCTTAAAAACCGGTGGGGACAGCCCGTCGGGGCCGGAAGCTTTATACCTTTTGAGATAGCCTATTTCTCGGGTAACCTCTATTTCAGATGGAGGACTGGCAGTATTTGCACAGTTGAACCGCATATAAGGTCTTGGGCTGACGAAGGCCGGCTGCACTGAGCCTTAAAAAGTCCCACCCATTGATCTAGACGGCGTTGCTGAATATGAATCAGTGTGCCGTCGGATCCCTTAATTACTTCACTTACACCTGCTTTCCTTGGACCTATGCTCGGAAAAGTTTGCGACTATTACCAATAGCCGCAGTCTTCTCCATCTCTCTACACTTTCCTTTCCACCACTCCTCGCGGTCATTCCTCAGACTCTTGATCAGCTGGCGTCCGAGGGATTTGTGTGCTGTCTCCTACTTTGAATATGAAGGATTGGATTTGAAAGCTTCCAGCAAGGCAACCGATTCTGGCAGATCCATTGTGGGGGTCAACAGATGACGTGGAAACGAAGCATGAAGAAATCCACAGGGCGATTAGGTGGAATCGGTGTCTCCTGTGTTCCAGCTCGGGGTCCAAAAGACTCTGCAACTGGTTGACTGGAGACAATGAAGGATATGACGACTAACGGACAGCAGTGGAGTTCTTGTTATCATTTCTTTTAAGGTCCAAAAACTTGGAAAGGTATGTATGCATACTTGGATTGCGTACTCTATTTGTTGACCATAGAGCTTCACTTTCTTTGACTCCCTTTCAATTAGGCCCCATCCCTTTCTATCTCGTGCTTTATCACTTGCTTTGTGTACATCGCGAGTTTGGCAGCGATCAGCAAAGTACGCTTCACTGTAACTCGCTGTAAGATAATGACGATGATCATTATGAAGGATCGAGTGTATGCTGCAGCAGTTCGGCCAGAGCTGCTTTATAGTTCAGAAACTTGACCATTACGGGAGCAAGTTAAAAATAAATTATTGGTGTTCGAACACCGCTCTCCAAGCCGCAATGCACGAGTCTGGTGGGGAAACTGGACAAGTAATGCTGAGGTTAGACGCAGATTTTTTGGTAATCGCGGTCGTCCACTGGAGCAAGTGGTCGAACTCCATAGACACGTGTTACCCAAGTGAACAAAAGAGGTGGCACGGCGCGCGATGTTTTCCGAGGTAGGTAGTAGATGGATAAAAGTCAGAGGAGGTCAAATTAACACCTGGCACGACGGTATGAAAACCATTACCTAGAGACTCGGTCATATAAGTCGATATAGATAGGCTCCCTGGATGAGCACCTTTAGATCACGTTACCGGTGGTTAGTGGCACTGAGCCATCTGTTTGAGTGTTTTTCATTCTGCTCTCAATACTTCACTCTTCGTTTGCTCTTTTATCAAAATGGGCAACCAAAAGACTGCAATCAAGCCGGCGCACGAAAGTGCACACTTCATTTTCGTGAAAACTGAAACTTAAATCTAGAAGCATATGGATGTTGCTATCCCCGCAAGGGGACCGGTGCTGTTTTTAGAATCAAATATACGACAATACTTAATAGGAAAGGGGGAGAGGGCAACTCTGGCAAACACTACCGTCCGCTCTAACAAAACCAACAAACTGAATTTGATTCACGTGTGTGAAACATGTTTCACTGGTGGGCCGCGCAGTTATCCTATTATTGACGTGAACTACTTCCTGAGAATTTCTGCTGTAGCTCTCCAATGAACCTTATCTATGGACGCCGCAAACGCGCCTTGATTTAGCTTTTTGAAATTTCCCTAAAAGGACTCGGCAAATGACATTGGATCAAAATCTAGTACTGAAACCTAGCAACTCTAAAAGTATTCGTGTGTGTTTATCTTCTACACTCGTTCGCTTTCAGTGTGTGGTATGAACAGATAAGCTCCCTCCGGCGTATTTCAAAGTCGGTGGTGCAAGCTTTGTACGAGAACTAACTTTCTGTTTCCAAAACGTCTGAAATACTGAATCCATTCTATTCGGATTGCGTTTGGTGGACGTCGTATCTCTTTTGATAAAGAGCCCGAGCCACGACTGCCTCAATCACCGAAAGATTAGTCGCATCTATGGTGTTAACATCGTTGATCCTCCGCTGGTTCATTTAGATAAATGAGGAAGATATCCGCGAAGAACAAAGTGGATTCAGCTCTGGATGGAGCTGCGTTGATCACATATTTAAGCTACGCCCGATACTCGAGTAAAGTCGAACTTTCATTAGACTAACCATCGTTGTCTCTTTGGCCATACGTTCTGCGTTTGACTCAGTTGAAAGAGCAGCTCTCTGGATTTGCCTGTTAGGAAGCAGTGACAGAGAAGTACGCAATTCTTCTCAAAGCCGTCTACTGAAAAACATCAGTCCGCGTAAAGATCTATGATCGCATCTCTCCTTGATTCGCCAGCACAGGCGGAGTCCGACAGGGATGCCCGGGTTCACCCATCCTTCTCAGTTTCGCAAGACACAAATTCGAAGCTGCTCTCTAGCAAATTGCCGAGCTCCAGCTTCTATGCTCTACCCAGGTGATCTACTCTGTGATTTGGAATATCCTGACAACTCCACTCAAGACGATTAAAACTTCCTGTATAACTTAACATAGATTCTCATGCCGTTTGTTGTGACTATCGAAATGTAGGGTCGTAGTTTAACACTGGCGAGAGGCTACACTTATCCTCAGGTTCATGGGCGACCAGTCACTTTATTTATCTCGGGGTTGTTTCGGCTGAAGAGGACTGAGAGAATAAATGTTAACGCGTATCCGGAAGGCTTGGACGACTAACTCAAACCTACGTCATCCGTGGTGCCGACGGAATCTGTGTTTTCTTGAAAGCAGCGTTTGCAACCCCGAAATACGCATTGTATTACACTACGGCTGCAACGATTCGTCCGTACAACACACAAGACGTGCCAACCTATCTTGGACCATCTTTGCCAGAACACGTTGGCAACAGCCAACCAGCAACGACGACGTTCGCCGAGGAATCTTCACCTTAGACAATCACAGACGTCCTCCGAGTGCCATCATCTCGTGCCTCGAAAGGCCTCAATATCGGCGGGAATGGGTGTCTAGGGTCCCAGCCACTAAGCAGGAGAACGACTAGGATTCTTTTCCAAAGCCTTTTGTTCTAACAAGAACCTGACCGTAGGGCAGCGTGTAAAGAGAAGCAGAGGCCCATCGGTGGTAGGCAGGCTTCCTGCCTCCCGGCTCACTACTACGCTCAACCTATTGAGACCTTATGTGGTTTACCACTCCAAGTCTCAGGATTGGGTTGCCGATCTTCTCTCACACCACATACGTTCGATACAACCTACAGAAATCACTTAATGCGCACTCTAATTACAAAATCACAGCACTCCATAGCAATCACCAACATTCTTAGTTTAATTCGAAACGTTAATTCTGTACACCACTTCCTCACAATCTTTTTCCCCTTGACTTTATTTTTGACGGAGACACAGATCTCCCCCTCGTCAGACACTACTTATCTCCAGTTCCCTAATTACTTCCTCCATTCTTCTTTTCTTTCTATGGCTGGTGTCTGCACCTATATCCATTATTCTGTCGTTTCTTCTCGACTTTATCACTCAGACTTCTCTAACCGTGAACTGCAGCTTATGAAGCTGAAACTTCGATTTCCGTCTTTCAACCACTATTGTTTACTGTTTACCGCTCCCCGAGCAGCAGGGATTCTTCTATTTTTCATATTCCGTCTTCCAACATTGAGACAATAATGGCGGCTGATTCTGACAGCCAAATTACCATTGTCGGAGATTTCAATGTCCACAACAAGGAATGGCTGAAGCACTCCTCAGACACTACGTTCATGGGACGCGAAGCCGACGCCTTTGCTGTGATCAACCAGTTAACCTCCCCACACGCAAACCTGATCTTATTGGTGACCGCGCCCACACCCTTGACCTCATTCTCACATCCATTCCCTCCTCTTTCTCCAACATCACTTCCCTTTCCCCATTAGGCTCATCGGACCATTATCTCATTTCCTTTCTCACTCCAATTCACCACCAAACTCCACACGCACCTTTTAGCGTTACGATTCAGCCAACTGGGACGGTTTCCGTGACTTTCTGCCTTGTTATCCCAGGAAAGATTGTTCTTTTAAATCTGATATTTCCACATCTATGGCAAGTTCCAGGGAGACATGTATGTATGACATGGTAAGTATGTATCTTTATATTCCACACTTCTCCAAACCCGGAAAACCACGATCCCGAGTGGTTTGGTCATGCTTCTAACCGTACTGTACGTTTTAAAAACTCAGCACTCCGTCGTTGCGCCACTCACCCAATCCATCATCCCGCAACCGCTTCGTGCAAGCCAGAAACCAATGCTCGGGCACTATTCAGAAAGCTAAAGAACGCTTCATTTGTCACAAAGCTGCGCGCTTGGCCTCTTCCGCCACCGGTAACCGAACATTCCGGTCCCTCGCTAAAGCTGTTTCACGTAATTTCTGACCTTCCAACTTTCCTCCCATTCGCGATTCCTCTGGTACTCTTGTTTGTGATCCCCACGAAAAAGCAGAGGTTTTCGCTTCCCGGTTTGCCTTCAACTCCACCTTATCTGTCGCCTCTACTGTTCAACCCTCCTCGCCTCCGAAATCCTTAGTATGGTCGCGGGTGTGTGTGCCTAGGGTTGCGGCTATCACCCTCCCATTGCGCGTCGAGAAATGCTCCCATAGAACCAAGCGTCTCGAATAGCCTCTGTTGAGGAAGCCCTACTCACTGCTTTCTCGTGGCGGAGGTGTTTTCCCACCAAAGTGAGAGGACGAAAAACCGACGTTCGGGGCTATAACCGGGTTGGTGGACCACTGGTAGTTCACCTAAGGGAGTTGGAAAAACCCCTGAATCCAAACCAACCAAGAGGAGGCGTACGAACCACACCCACAGCTTTTCGGTTGTGGCAATGGTCACCGGCTCGATTGGGCAACGAGGTGTATTGGGCCCCTTGGACGTTTCACCCCGTCCGAAGGGTGTATGATCCGATGATCTGGACATCGGCTCCCAATGGATTGCGGTTTTCACACTGTCTGGCTGGCTCGGGTGTTAGGCTTTGCCCATCAGAAGGCTCAGATTGTGGATTCGTAAAGAAAATTTATCTGCCTCCACCTGGCCAAGCTGGCAGTATTCGCCCACATGGAATCCCCCAAAAGGCTTTCATCTTCACATAATTTGTGTGGTACAGTCGGGCCACAGACAATTGTGAAATATAATAATAAAGATATGACCGCTCCTTGTACACATTCAATCACTCCTTTCTACCTACCATAAGAACCGTGGGGCGGTGATGGCCAAGTGGTTAGGTGACCAACTAGTGACCGGGGTGTTTCGGATTCAAACCGCTCCACTGCCGCCGGTCCTCTCTATGTCTGTATTTTCCCGAGGCAGCCTTTGTATGGCCGCAGCCCCCTTCTTGAAAGTTGACCGCCTTTTCTGTTATTCACTCGATCATAAGTCTTTCCCTTTTCCACGGAAAAATGCCGTTATTTTTCCAATCCCAAAGAGCGGTGATCCTTCCGACTCTAACAACTACCGTCCATTACCCTCATTTCTGTAATTTTGAATGTGTTTGAAACCATTATGTCCTACCAGCTGCGAACTTTTCTCGAACGCGAAGGTTTTTTTAAACGACCGTCAGTATGGATTTCGCCCTCGTCGATCTACGAGTGACTTACTGGCTCACATATCACATTGCTAGTCGACTGCACTCAATAACCACGGAGAAACTCACATGGTTTCGCTCGATATATCAAAGGCCTTCGACCGCGTTTGGCATGAAAGCTGCTGTCGAAATTACGCGCGTTCAGATTTCACCCGTCTCTGGTATCGTGGCTCCGATGTTTCCTCAGCAAGCAAACCATTTCCGTTAAAGTAGATGGGGTCCTATCTCGGCCATTTCCTGTGAACGCCGGTGTTGACCAAGTTTCAATACTTTCGCCCACTCTTTCTTTTATTTATCAACGTTCTTCTATCCCAAACCTCTAATCCCATCCACTACTTTGCCGATGATGCCACTCTCCATTGTTCTCTTTCTTACCCCACATTCCGTCAAGCTAATACCAGCATCGATCACGATCGTAATGCCATTAGTGCTTGTCTTGCCTCAGATCTTGGGCTAATCTTCGCATGGGGTTCTACCAGCCATGTGTTTCAGTGCTTCCAGAACTTCTCTCCTCTCAGTCTCTCTTAAACATGTCTCCTTTTCTCCTCAATTGGTTTTTGATTCTCTGCCCTTCATTTCAGAAATCCTCTTACTCCTGGGTTTATCCATAAATTCTTCTCCCTGATGATCGCCGTTTATTTCTCCACTTGCCTCTTGCGCTGCGCACAAAGTTGATTATCTATTCCGCGCCAAGCGTTTCATCACACCCGAGCACCTTCTTTCATACAAAGTTAAAATCCGCCCGATGCTCGAATACTGCTTTCACGCATGGAGTGGAGCTTCGTATTCTGCTCTTTCTCTTCCTGACCGTGTTCAACGTAAGGCCATCTGGCTGATCAACGAACCGTCCTTAACTTCCAACCTCTAATCGCTTTCCCATCGGCGGACAGTTGCTTCGTTATCTCTTTTCTATCTTTACTATTTTGGTTTCTGCTGTTTCGAACTCGCTCCCGCGGTTACCCTTCAATTGACCTTCTCTCGTCCATCTCGTTCTCAGGCAGGCAGTCACCTTTATCAGGTTTCCATCCCCAGATGTGGGACTTCTATCTTTAAGTATTCTTTTTTCCCGAAGACTGCAAAATTGTGGAACACTCTTCTCATTTCCATGTTTCTCAGCTCTTAGAACTTTATCATTTTCAAAAGCAGGATTAACAAGCTGATTCTTACTTGAATTTTCCCCCAAATACCTCCCGCTTACAGTATATCGTTGATTATGGGTTTACCTCTTTTGCTGTAAATCACTTCGTGTGTAATAAAAAAATCTACTCGGATCGATTACTTCTCTGCTATTTTCTGCCGAGTGGGACGCTAACTCGAGTCGAACTCCCAACCTGGATGGCGGTGGTGGCCCGGTTGTAACGTCACTAAAATATCACCACGAGGGACGAGTATTCGAATCCCACCACTACCACCTGACTTGCCCCATGGCAGCCCTTTGACTGGCTGCTTCCCCTTCTTGAAAATTGTATCACTGTGTATTCAATAAAAGGAAGTAAAATAAAAACAAAAATACTTTAGTTTACTATACCGCGGCTGGTCCCAGGGAGAGGATATCAAGGGACTATCCAAGAAATTTCTTAGGAAGTAGGCACAAGAAACGTCCCCAGCATCATCCGGCTTTGGGTTGAGGTGGCACCTCTAGCTTTTTCACATCCAAGTGCTAACTGCAAGGCAGCAGGAAGGTAATGCACGGTTGTCGATGGCCCTCTGAGGGGGAGCTCATACGCCAGGGTCCCATGCATCCCTGATGAGTGCGGAGTCACTGCCATGACCGTTGAGTCGTGAGAGCGACTTCATCCGTCTAGCAGGTACATCAGACTCCGATTCGCTGGGAGTTGAGCTCCCGGTTACCCTCAACCTGGTTTGACCCGCCTATCGAGCGGTTTACCGGGGTGTGGCCGCTGTTGCATCCAAACAGCTTCTTGGACCCACAGGTCAGAGCTGAGCGCCTGGTGGAAATCAGAGAACGGAGAATGCCCAAAGGGGCGAGAGCCCTCCGAGTCAGGGGTGCTATCCCTACCGGGTACCCCATACACCGGAGGACCAGGAGACTAATCGTTGTCCGACCTTCCAAGCATGATAAGATCTCCTGGCTTAATAAAAACCATTCTGTGTAGCTAGTTGGGTTATACAGCTGTACAACCCATTACACCAGGTCAAGGTGCAGTTTTGTCATGGTGCATAGATTACCCCGATTGGGAAATGTGCTGAGCGTGTTACCAAATAAGTTGCCACGGCGAGCGATGTTT